CACGTGTGTGGGGGGGGGGGGGGGGGTGTAAAATCACCTAAAATCTACTCTCGAGCTATTCAGCCTTCTGGGAGAAGAGCTTACTGAGTGGACGGCCACTCTCTGGCAGGTTTTTGGTTTACAGTACAGTGTTATTAGCTAGTCCTCCTCGTGCTGTGCATTACATCTCTAGACCCATTCATCCCATATAACTGCACATCTGTGCCTTTGACTCACTTCTTCCCATTTCCTCCCTGACCCAGTAGTTCCCGTTCTAGTCTATGTTAATATGTATTTGGCGTTTTTTTAGATTCCACCTGTAAGCAAAATTGTGCGTTATTTGTCTGACTTTGCCTGACTTATTTCACTTCACATAATATTTTGTACTTAAATCCATGTTGTCACAACATGAAAGGATTTTTATTCTTTTTTTTTTTTAATGGCTGAACAGTATTCCATTCTGTATATGTACTGTTTTCTTTATCCATTCATCAGTTGATAGATGCTTAGGTTGGTTTTGTGTTTGGCTGTTGTATAGAGTGCTACAGGAAACGTGGGGGTGCAGATAGCTCATCAATTTACTGATTTCAGTTGCTGTGGATATATACCTAGAAGTGGGATTGCTGGGTCATATGGTAGTTCTATTTTTAGGCTTTTGAGGAAACTCCATCCTGTTTTTTGTAATGGTTATAGCAATTTATATGACCCCCAACAGCATACAGGGGTTCCCCTTTCTCCACATCTCACCAGCACTCATCTCCTGCCATCTTACAATAGCCATCCTAGTATGTGGTGAGGTGATTGCACATTGTAGGTTTGATTTGCGTCTCCCTACTGATTAGTATGTTGAACACCTTTTTGTGTGCCTATTGGCCATTCGTGTATTGTCTTTAGAGAAATGTCTATTCATGTCCTTTGCCTGTGCTTTAATCAGGTTATTTGTTTTTTGCTGAGGGGCTGTGTGAGTTCCTTATGTATTTTGGATATTAGGCCCTTATTAGTTACATGGTTTGCAAATATTTTCTCCCAATCCGTAGACTGCCTTTTCATTTCATTCGTTGTTTCCTTTGCTGTTCGGAAGTTTTGCTATGTGAAGTAGTCCCACTTGTTTATTTTTGCTGTTGTAGCCTGAGCCTTGGGGGTCATACTCCAAAAATGAGCCATAGAGAGAAATAGTTTTGGAGCTGCCTCCAGGAATAGAAGACTGAGGTAATTTGGATTCATTCTCTGGTTGAAGACAAATAGAAGAGCTAGCAAAAAAAATTTTAATAAAGCTATTTGAAGGTATCAGTGAAGCAAAAAGTTTATAAAGAAGGGCTTTGTCAAGATCCTGTAGAAGACAGAAATCCGGGGAGGCCAGCTTGGCATTAGGAACCACTTTTGCTCTGCTGTGTTTGTCTGTCAAGAAGTAAGAAAACACAAATTAGTACTTAATAGGGATAAGGAAGGGATATTACTCTAGACCCTTCTGAATGAAAAGCTATCAGGAAGCACTGCAAACAACTCTACACACATGCATTCAACAACTGAGATACAGTGGACCAAATCTCTCAAAAAGACAGATGACCACACCCCTCTAATATCAAATAGGTTATTTAAAGAACTCTATAACTGTTAAAGAAATTGCATCCATAGTTTGAAAACTCCCCCCAAAAGATGTCTCTAGCCTAGAGATGTCACTGGGTAATTTACCATATATTTAAAGTAGAATTAATGCCCATTCTATAGTCTCTTTCAGAAAATACAAGAAAATAGACCACTCCCCAGTGAGGCTAGTATTACCCTGACACCCAAATCAAGCAAAAAAAAAAAAAAAAAAAAAAAAAAAAAAAAGTGCAAAACAGAAAACTGCAGGCCATTATCTCTTATGAACATAGATACAAAAATCTTAGGCCGGGCGCGGTGGCTCAAGCCTGTAATCCCAGCACTTTGGGAGGCCAAGGCGGGTGGATCACGAGGTCAAGAGATCGAGACCATCCTGGTCAACATGGTGAAACCCCGTCTCTACTAAAAATACAAAAAATCAGCTGGGCATGGTGGCGCGTGCCTGTAATCCCAGCTACTCAGGAGGCTGAGGCAGGAGAATTGCCTGAACCCAGGAGGCGGAGGTTGCGGTGAGCCGAGATCGCGCCATTGCACTCCAGCCTGGGTAACATGAGTGAAACTCCGCCTCAAAAAAAAAAAAAAAAAAAAAAAAAAAAATCTTTAACAAAATTTGAGTGTATCAAATCCAGCAGTTAATGATACACCATGACCAAGTGTGTTTTTTATTGCAGGAATATGTGGCTGGTGTAATACTTAAAAATCAGTCAGTGAAACCCTCCAAATTAATAGATTAAGGAAGAAAAGTCACATGATCATATAAATCATTCAAAAAAAGGATTTGACAAAATTCAGTACCCATTCATGGTTAAAACTCTCAGAAAAATGATAATAGAGGAGAGCTTTCTTACCTCAATAAAGAACATCTACAAAAACCCATACGGCATAATAGTAAAATACTAATTGCCTTTCCCCAATGTCAGGGTTATCAGGGACAAGGATGTCTGCCCTCACCACTCTTATTCAGCATAGTGCTGGAAGTTCCAGCTAGTGCAGTGAGGAAAGAAAAGGAAATAAAAAGCATGCAGATAAAAAGAAGGAAACAAAACTGTATTTGCAAATGACATGATTCTCTAAATATAAAATCCCAATGAATCTACAAAAAAAAAAACAAAAAAAACTAGAGCTAGGCTGGGTGTTGTGGCTCATGCCTGTAATCCCAGCACTTTGGGAGGCTGAGGTAGGAAGATTACTTAAACCAAGAACTTCAAGACCAGCATGGGCAACAAAGTAAGACCCCCCCATCTCTACAAAAAAAATTGAAAAATTAGCTGGATGTGTTAGCTACTTGGGGAGCTGAGGTGGGAGGAATTATTTGAGCCAGAGAGGTCAAGGCTGTAGTTGATTCATGATTGCACCGCCATACCCCAGCCTGGGCAACAGAGTGAGACCCTGTCTTTAAAAAAAAACAAAACAAAACAAAACAAAACCTAGAGCTAGTGAGAGTTCAGCAAGGCCTCAAGCTACAAGACCTATATACCAAAAGTCAGTTGCATTTCTATATACTGTTAATGAACATATGGAAACCTTAATTTAAAAGATAGTACCACTTAACAGTTGTTTCACAAAAATGAATTACCTAGGTATAAATAAAATAAGCATATACAGGATCTATATGCCGAAAATTGCAACATGCTGATAAAAGAATCAAAGCAAACCTAAATAAGTGAAGAGACATATACTATGTTCATGGACTGAGAGGCTCAGCACAATAGAGAGGTTGATTCCCTCCAAATTGATGTTCAGGTTTGGTGCACTTGCAAAAATCCCAGCAAGGTATTTTTTGTAGATATGGCAAGATTATTCTAAAATTTATGTGGAAGGGCAGTGGAACTAAAAATTGTCAAAATCTTGAAAAAGAATAATAAAATGGGCAGAATCACTGTACTTGATAACATACCTTGCTATATGACTGCAGTAATCAAGACAGTGTGGTATGGGTGAAGGGACAGACACAAAATCAATGGAACAGAATAGAGAACCAAGACATAGACCCACACAAGTACTGCCAACTGATCTTGACAGGATGCAAAAGCCACTCATTGGAGGAAGGCAGCCTATTTACCAAATGTGCCTGGAGCATTGGATACCCATAAGCCAAAAAAAGACAAAAACAAAAGAACCTTGTCTTTGGCCTCATACTTTTTATGAAAATTAACTCAAATGGAATATGAAACTAAATGTAAAACATAAAACTGTTACGCTTTTGGGGAAAAAAAAACTAGGAGATCTTTGAGATCTAGGGTCAGGCAAAGAGTTCTTAGCCTTCATACCAAAAGCATAATTTATAAAAGGAAAAATTGACAAATTGGAAACATTTTTAAGTCAAACATTTTAAATTCATTTTTAATTCAAAATTTAAAACGTTGCTGTGTTAGGATAAGGAAAAGGCAAGCTACAGCCTGGGAGAAAATATTTGCGAACCACTTGTCTGACAGAGATCTTCTATCTAGAAAATAAAAAGAATCTGAGAACTCAGCAATAAAAACAATCCAGTTAGAAAGTAGGCAAAAAAAATAGACATTTTACCAAAGACTTTCAGATAGTAAATAAGTACATGACAAGCTGTTCAACATAATTACCCATTAGGGAAATGCAAATTAAAACCATAGTGTGCTATGACTACACATGGATTAGAGCAGCTAAAATTCAAAATAAAATAGTGACACCACCAAATTCTGGTGAGGATGTGATCCTCATACACTAGCCTCTTACATGGCTGGTGTCAGTCACTCTGGAAAACAGTTTGGCAGTTTATTAAAAAACTAAAAATGCACTTACCATATGAACTAGCAATCACACTCCTGGGCATTTATCCCAGAAAAATGAAAACTTAGGTTCATTCAGAAACCTGTGCATGAATATTCATAGCAGCTGTATTAGTAGTAGCACAGGTTGGACACAACCCAGATGTCTTTAAATGGACGAATGTTTAACAGGCTGGCGCATCCATGCCGTGGAACACAACTCTGCAATAAAGAGGGATGAGTGGCTGAGTGGATCTCATGGGAATTGCACGGAGTGAAAAAGCCAATCCCAAAAAGTCACATATTACATGATTCTATTTTTGTTACATTCTCAAAATGACAGGATAAAGAGGTGGATAACAGATTACCAGTTGCTAGGATTAGGGACAGCACAAGGGAGATCTTATGTGAAGAGACAGTTTTGTGTCTTGATGGTGGTGGCAGGGGTGACACAAACCCACCAGGTTTTGAAATTGCCTTGAACCTGAATAAGGTTTGTGGATGGCATTGATGCTAACTTCCTGGTTTGGATATTGTGCTATACTATGTCAGATGTTACCACTGGTGAAGGGTGCATAGTGCCATCTATCCTATTCTTTGTCAATTCCTGTGACTGTATAGTCATTTCAAAATAAAAAGTAAAAAAAAGCAAAAGGAATCACCCAACCAGACAGATACCTTAGGTCTCAGGACAACAGGAAATTAAAAGTTTTAGGACAGTAAAAGCTGTTCCATGCAACTGCTAACCCAAAGAAACTGGGTGTGTCTGCATCAGAAGTGGACTTCAGGCAGAAACAGTCATGAGAGGAAGACGGGACACTTGATAAGAAAGGTCAGCCCACCAGGATTGTTTCAGGATTTCCTACACCTGTAAGTTAGTATGCACAGCTTCCATATAGATCAGATGAAAACTGACGGAACTGAAAAATGAAACAGACACATCTGTAATCACTGTGGGACATGTGAGCACAGGGGTCCACAGAATGCTTTTGTGTGTGTCTGTGAGCTAAGAATGCTTTTTGTGGTTTTTAAAGAGTTGGTTTAAAAAAGTACATCTAACAGAGGCTGTACGGGGCCAGTGAAGCCTGCCCTCTGCAGAAGTCTTCTATGGAGGCTGCTTTAACGCCTCTCTCAAGAGCTGATAGGACAAACAGGCAGAAAAGGTTACTATGGATTCGAATTTTTGAACACAGTGAACAAACTCATTCTAAGGGACATGTAGAATACTGCGCCCAAAAGCTACAAAGTAACCACTTTTCAAGTGCATATGGAGAATTTACCAAAATTGACTAGATTACAGATCATAAAGCAGATTTCAAACCACTGAAGTCATCCATCTTTTTTTCTGCCTACAGTAAGTGTAAGCTTCAGTAATAAGTAAAAACTCTCAGTTATTTGAAATTAAAATAGTATGCTTCTAAATAATTCACAGGGAAAAGGAGAAACCACAATAGACCTTATAAAATATTTTTAATGACAGTGAAAATATTGTCCATAAAAATATGTGGGATGAAGCTAAAAGCTGTTCTTAGAAGGAAATGTGTAGAGCTAAATGAATACGTTTGAAAAAAAGACTGAAAATCAATGATCTAATTTGTAATTTATCTCTATAAATTACAAATAAAAAATCAAACTCTGAGTGTGTGGTACATAGGAAAGAAATAGTAAGAGAGCAGGAATTAATGAAACAGGAAACAAATGGAGAATAGAAAAAGGTTGTGTGTTTGTTTTTAATTGTATTTAGGCTCTGGGATACATGTGTTTGTCCTGCATCCTGCAGGATTGTTACATAAGTACCCATGCCATGGTGATTTGCTGTCTCCATCCCCACCCCCATTGCCTACATCAGGCATTTCTCCCAATGTTATCCCTCCCCGTCCTCCCCCACCCCCGCTGTCCTTCTTCCCTTCCCCTCCAGCCCCCAGCCTAGACCTGTGAGTGTTGTTCCTTTCCCTGTGCCCAAGTGTTCTCATTGTTCACCCGCCTGTGAGTGAAAATGTGGTGTTTGGTTTTCTGTTCTTGTGTCAGTTTGCTGAGAATGATGGTGTCTAGGTTCATCCACGTCTCTACAAAGGACACAAACTCATCATTTTTAATGGCTGCATACTATTCTATGGTGTATATGTGCCATATTTTTTTTTTGTCCAGTCTATCAGCGATGGGTATTTGGGTTGGTTCCAGGTCTTTGCTGCCGTAAACAGCACCACAATGAACATGCGTGTGCATATGTCTTTATCATAGAACGATTTATAATCCTTTGGGTATATACCCAGTAATGGGATTGCTGGGTCAAATGAAATTTATATTTCTAGATCTTTGAGGAATCCCCACACTGTCTTCCACAGTGGTTGAACTAATTTACACTCCCACCAACAGTGTAAAAGTGTTCCTATTTCTCCACATCCTCTCCAGCATCTGTTGTCTCCAGATTTTTTAATGATCGCCATTCTGACTGGCGTGAGATGGTATCTCAATGTGGTTTTGATTTGCGTTTCTCTAATGACCAGTGATGATGAGCATTTTTTCATATGTTTGTTGGACGCACATTTGTCGTCTTTTGAAAAGCGTCTGTTCATATCCTACGCCCACTTTTGAATGGGTTTGTTTGTTTTTTTCTTGTTAATCTGTTTTAGTTCTTTGTAGATTCTGGATATTGGCCCTTTGTCAGATGGGTAGATTGCAAAAATTTTTTCTGATTCTTACGGTTGCTGGTTTACTCTAATGATTGTTTCTTTTGCTGTGCGGAAGCTCTTAAGTTTAATTAGGTCCCATTTGTCTATTTTGGCTTTTGTTGCCATTGCTTTTGGTGTTTTAGTCATGAAGTCCTTGCCTGTGCCTGTGTCCTGAATTGTTTTGCCTAGGTTTTCTAGGGTTTTTATGGTGTTAGTTCATACGTTTAAATCTTTAATCCATCTGGAGTTAATTTTTGTATAAGGTATAAGGAAGGGGTCCAGTTTCAACTTCCTGCATATGGCTAGCCAGTTTTCCCAACACCATTTATTAAACAGGGAATCCTTTCCCCATTGCTTGTTTTATTCAGGTTTGTCAAAGATCAGATAGTTATAGATGTGTGGCATTTCTTCCCAGGCCTCTGTTCTGTTCCATTGGTCTATATCTCTGTTTTGGTACCAGTACCATGCTGTTTTGATTACTATAGCCACTTTGTAGTATAGTTTTAAGTCAGGCAGCATGATGCCTCCAGCTTTGCTCTTTTTGCTTAGGATTGTCTTGGCTATGCAGGCTCTCTTTTGGTTCCATATGAAGTTTAAGGTGGGTATTTTCCCTTAAACCAACTCTGTGAAGAGGGTCATAGGTAGCTTGATAGGGATAGCATTGAATCTATAAATTACTTCGGGCAGTATGGCCATTTTCACAATATTGATTCTTCCTAACCATGAGCATGGAATGTTTTTCCGTCTGTTTGTGTCCTCTCTTATTTCCTTGAGCAGTGGTTTGTAGTTTTCCTTGAGATCTTTCACATCCTTTGTTGTATTCTTAGGTATCTTATTCTCTTTGTAGCAATTGTAAATGGGAGTTCGCTTATGATTTGGCTCTCTGTCTATTATTGGTGTATAGGAATGCTTGTGATTTCTGCACATTGATTTTGTATCCTGAGATTTTGCTGAAGTTGCTTATCAGCTTAAGGAGGTTTTGGGCTGAGATGATGGAGTCTTCTAAATATACAATCATGTCGTCTGCAAATAGGGACAATTTGACTTCTTCTTTTCCTAAGCGAATGCCCTTTATTTCTTTTTCTTGCCTAATTTCTCTGGCTAGAACTTCCAATACTATATTGAATAGGAGTGGTGAGAGAGGGCATCCTTGTCCAGTGCCAGATTTCAAAGGGAATGCTTCTAAGTTTTGCCCATTCAGTATGATATTGGCTGTGAGTTTGTCGTAAATAGCTTTTATTGTTTTGAGATATGTTCCATTGATACCTAGTTTGTTGAGAGTTTTTAGCATAAAGGGCTGTTGAATTTTGTCAAAGGCCTTCTGTGCATCAATTGAGATAATCATGTGGTTTTTGTCTTTGGTTCTGTTTATGTGGTGGATCATGTTTATATATTTGCGTATATTGAACCAGCCTTGCATACCTGGTATGAAGCCTACTTGATCATGGTGGATAAGCTTTTTGATGTGCTGTTGGATTCAGTTTGTCATTATTTTATTGAAGATTTTTGCATCGATGCTCATCATGGATATTGCCCTATAGTTTTCTTTTTTAGTTGTGTCTCTGCCAGATTTTGGTATCAGGATGATGTTGGTCTCATAGGAAGAGTTAGGAAGGATTCTCTCTTTTTGTATTGTTTGGAGTAGTTTCAACAGGAATGGTACCAGCTCCTCTTTGTATGTCTGGTAGAATTCAGCTGTGAAGCCGTCTAGACCTGGACTTTTTTTGGTCGGTAGGCTATTAATTGCTGTCTCAACTTCAGACCTTGTTATCGGTCTATTCAGGGTTTCAGCTTCTTTTTGGCTTAGTCTTGGGAGTGTGCAAGTGTCCAGGAATTTATCTATTTCTTCCAGATTTACTGGTTTATGTGCATAGACTTGTTTGTAGTAATCTCTGATGGTAGTTTGTATTTCCGAGGAATTGGTGGTGATCTCCCCTTTATTGTTTTTTATTGCATCTATTCCATTCTTCTCTCTTTTCATTTTTATTAGTGTGGCTAGCAGTCTGTCTGTTTTGTTGATCTTTTCAAAAAACCAGCTCCTGGATTTATTGATCTTTTTGAAGGGTTCTTTGTGTCTCTATCTCCTTCATTCAGTTCTGCTCTGATCTTAGTTATTTCTTGTCGTTTGCTAGGTTTTGAGTTTTTTTGATCTTGCTCCTCTAGCTCTTTCAATTTTGACGATAGGGTGTCGATTTTAGATCTTTCCTAGTTTCTCATGTGGCCATTTATTGCTATAAATTTCCCTCTAGACACTGCTTTAAATGTGTCCCATAAGATCTGGTACGTTATGTCTTCATTCTTGTTGGTTTGAAAGAACATTTTTATTTCTGCCTTCATTTCATTGTTTGTCCATTCGTCATTCAGGAGCAAGTTGTTCAGTTTCCATGTGATTGTGTGGTTTTGAGTGCTTTTCTTAATCCTGAGTTCTAAGTTGATCGCGCTATGGTCTGAGAGAGTGTTTTTTATGATTTCTGTTCTTTTGCATTTGTTGAGGAGTGATTTACTTCCAATTATGTGGTCAGTTTTGGAGTAAGTGCAGTGTGGTGCTGAGAAGAATGTGTATTCTGTGGATTTGGGGTGGATTGTCTTGTAAATGACTGTTAGGTCTGCTTGGTCCAAATCTGCATTCAAGTCCTGGATATCCTTGTTGCTTTCTGTCTCATTGATCTGTCCCATATTGTCAGTGGAGTGTTAAAGTCTCCCACTATTATTGTGCAAGAGTCTAATTCTCTTTGTAGGTCTTTAAGAACTGGCTTTATATATCTGGGTGCTTTTGCATTGGGTGCATAAACAGGATAGTTAACTCTTCTTGTTGCATTGATCCTTTTACCATTGTATACTGCCCTTCTTTGTCTCTTTTGATCTTTGTTGGTTTAAAGTCCATTTTATCAGAGACTAGGATTGCTACCCCTGCTTTTTTTTGCTCTCCATTTGCTTGGTAAATCTTCTTCCATCCCTTTATTTTGAGTCTGTGTGAGTCCTTGCATGTGAGATGGATCTCCTGAATACAGCACACCAATGGGTCTTGACTTTTTATCCAGTTTGTCAGTCTGTGTCTTTTGATTGGAGCCTTTAGGCCATTTACATTCAATGTTAATATTGTTATGTTTAATTTGAGCCTGCCATTTTGTTACTGGCTGGTTGTTTTGCCCATTAATTGACATGACACCTTGATTGCATTGTTATTCTTTACCATTTGGTACATTTTTGCGGTGGTTGGTACTGGTTATTCCTTTCCCTGTTGATTACTTCCTTCAGTAGTTCCTGTAAGACAAGTCTTGTAGTGACGAAATCTCTCAGCAATTGCTTGTCCGTAAAAGATTTTATTTCTCCTTCACTTATGAAGCTTAGTTTGGCTGGATATGAAATTCTGGGTTGAAAGTTCTTTTCTTTAAGGATATTGAATATTGGCCCCCAACTCTCTTCTAGCTTGCAGAGTTTCTGCCGAGAGATCTGCTGTGAGTGATGGTCTTTCCTGTGTGAGTGACTCGACCTTTCTCTCTGGCTACCCTTAGGATTTTTTCCTTTATTTTAACCTTGGTGAATCTGATGATTATGTGCCTTGGGGTTGCTCTTCTTGAGGAATATCTTTGTGGTGTTCTCTGTATTTCCTGGATTTGAATGTTGGTCTGCCTTTTTAGGTTGGGAAAGTTCTCTTGGATAATATCTTGAAGAGTGTTTTCCAACTTGGATTCATTCTCCCCGTCACATTCAGCTACGCCCATCAAGCGTAGATGAGGTTTTTTCACATAATCCCATAGTTCTTGGAGGCTTTGTTCATTTCTTTTCACTCTTTTTTCTCTAATCTTGCCTTCTCATTTTATTTCATTGATTTGATCTTCTATCTCTGATATCCTTTCTTCTGCTTGATCGATTTGGCTGTTGAAACTTGTGTATGCTTCATGAAGTTCTCGTGCTGTGTTTTTCAGCTCCATCAAGTCATTTATGTTCTTCTCTAAGCTGGTTATTCTAGTTAACATTCTGTCTAACATTTTTTCAAGGTTCTTAATTTCTTTGCATTGGATTAGAACATGGTCTTTTAACGCAGAGAAGTGTATTACCCACCTTCTGAAGCCTGCTTCTGTCAATTTGTTAGATTCATTCTCTTTTCTGTTCTCTCGATGGTGAGGAGTTGTCATCCCTGGGAGGAGAAGAGGGTTTTCTGTTCTTTGATGGTTTCATCCTTTTTGCACTGGTTTTTTCCCATCTTCGTGGATTTATCTCCCTTTAATCTTTGAAGTTGGTGATTTCAGAAGGAGTCTCTGAGTGGACTTTTTTTCTGTTGAGGTTGGAGCTGTATCTTTTTTGGCCCGTAGAGGGCGTTGCTGGGGTGTTGGGTTCAGTCAGGTTGTTGGGTGGGTGGTCCTTCCCAGGGGTTTGTTTGCAGGTGAGATTGGTCGCACCTTCCCAATGGCGTCTGTCCTTCCCCAGCTGGATCTTCCTGGCTGGGGTCAAGCTGGTGTATTTGCTGCCTGGCTCTCTAAGAGGGGCTTCAGTTTGAACTCTGTGGAGGTGGGGCCTGCTAGGCTTATGGTCTGTTTCCCTGCTTTCAACTCTGCCTCCCTCTGTGGGAAGGTCCATCCTGCTGGCGTTAGTCCAAAGTCCTGCCCAGGTCCCTGCGACAACTTGCCCAATCCGGCAGTAGCCCCTGCTCCGATTTGCTTCAACTACCCATGGTGCCCCACTGTCTGGCAGGGCTCTCGTGGACCGTGGGTTGCAGGAGGGATGAGGTAAGCACAGGATCTGAAACTGGGCACCAAGGGGTTAAGTGCCCGCATCCTCCAATCCGGCTGCACGTTTCAGATGGGGATGTACCTCCCCTCCCCCCATCTTGATTTGGCCCCCTGGGCGGGTCTCGCCCTGTGCCTTCTTCCCTGGGCCTAAAATTCAGTGCCCTGTCAGCCCCACAGAAACAAACCTGGCACCTCATTTGGAATCATGAAGTCCTCTAGCCCTCTCAGTCTCATTCGTTGGGAGCTGCATTCCGGTGCTGGCTTCTCTTGGCCATCTTGGCGCCCCCTCCTGTTTGTTTGTTTTTATGTCATTTGCAGGAGTTCTCATTGCTGGTTGGAATGTGGTACAGCCACTCTGGATGGTCATGAGGCGGTTTCTTACAAAGCTAAACAGGTCTTAGCATGCAGTCCAGTGCTGCACCCGTTGCTGTGGCCACACCACAGCCTGTACATAGAGGTTTCAGCAGCCCTATTCGTAATTACCAAAACTTGGAAGCAGCCACGATGCCCTTCAGTGGATGATTAGGTGAATGAACTGGCCCATCTGGACAATGGAATGTTAAAAATAAGTCTATCAAGCTGTGAAAAGACATGGAGGAAACTTAAATGCATGGTACTAAGTGAAAGAGGCCAATTTGAAAAAGCTGCCTACTCTCTGATTCCAACAATAGGAAGTCTGGAGAAGGGAGAACTATGGAAACAGTGGAAAGATCAGTGCTTGCCAGGGGTTTGGGAGAGGAAGGGTGAGCAGGCAGGCAGGAGGATCTTAGGGCAGTGCATCTGCTCTGTACAATGCTCTCATGGTGGGTCAAGGTCATTACACATTTGTCCAAACCCACAGAAGGTACACCACCAAGAGTTCCCTCATGTCAACATGTCAGTGTGGGTTCATCAGTTATAACAGATGTGTCTTCCAGGGGTTGGCGGGTGGAGGCATTGATCTGTAGAGAAGCGGAGGGTAGGTGGGAAATCTCTGTACCTTCCTCTCAATTTGCTGTGACCTAAAACTGCTCTAAAAAAAAGTCTTTTTTTCTAAGTTAATTATTTGAAAAGATGAATAAAACTGATAAACCTGTAACAAAATTAAGAAAACGAGAAAGCACAAATTGCCAGCATATGGCATGAAAAAGGGGCATCTGTATATGTAGACGATGCAGACTAAAGAGATGAGAGAATATTTATACCAATACATTTGAAACTTCAGGTAAAATGTGTGCCATACAGAGTAATAGTGTAGAAAAAATTTTCAAGTAAAATGAACATATTCCTTGAAAGATACAACCTAATAAGACTGAAGTATGAAGAAATAGAAAACTTGATTCAGTGTCTGCTGAAGACATTGAATCTGAAATAAAAAGTCTTCCCACTAGGAAACCTCAAGATTACAGGGCTTCCCTGTGAGCTTTTCCAGACACCTAAGGAGGAAACAGCATCTGTGCTACACTCATTCTTCTAGAGAGCAGAAGAAAGAAGGCTTTCTAACTGTTTTTATAAGTCCAGCAAAATCCTGATATAAAAATCTAACAAAGACATCACAAGAAATAAAAATTTACGCCATTTTGTTTCGTGAAAATAAATTCAAAGCTGCCAAACAAAATATTAGCAAATCAAATCCAGCAATATATAAAAGTAATAATACATGATGACCAAGTTGGGTTTATTTTTGGAATGCAGAGTCGATTTAATATTTGAAAATCATTGTAAAGAACAATAAATAAGAAAAAGCATATAGTGGATGCTAAAAAATATTTGATGAAATTCAGTCCTGTTCATGGCAGTCAGCTTAAGGCTTCTGTAGGAAATAGACATCTCACTAACACGTCTTGTTAGTCAGAATCCACTCAGCACTATGTACTTGTATAATGGTTGCTCTTTTTTAAAATGATTGTTGTTTTGGATAATTTTGTACAACAAAAGTGTCATACAGCACTATTTTAGAATAAAGTAGTGCTGTGCAACAAAAGTTGTTTTGATTAAACCTTAGATTAACTTTTGATTAATCCCAGTTCATGATAAATTTCTTAAAATGGTTAGCAAACTGCTTTTATTTTAATAAGTGAAGCCTTAACTTATAAGGGGGCCAAAATATCTGTCACTTTTTTCCTAATTTATTTAAAACAGCTCTTGGTTAATTTGAGCTCATAGATAAAACTAGACAATGATGAATTCAATTGCACTTAACTCATTTATGGACTCATTTGGACACTTGCTAGATATCAGTATCACTTTGCATGGGGACAGCATAGGCCCCGAGGTAGAGAGTATCTCATGCAGCATTCTCGCTAAATGCAGGAACCCGTCTATAGCATCTTAGGACAGCTTCCCTGTTTGTCCCTTTGCCTTTGAAGAAAGTTGTTCAGGAAAAAATGCACCCAGAGTGAATGATCATGTGAGCTTTTTCCTAGTGGACACAGTTTTCACCATTTCTGTTAGCGCAGTGGTTCCTAGGAGGCAGGAGACACTGTGCTCACTGCCTGTGTGTGTGGAGCAGGCTGGGTAAGTGTCTGAGGTGTGAATGGATGGATGGATGGATGAAGACACACTCATACTGAAGAGGCACCCTCATTTCTGTCAGCTGAGGTTGTTTCCAAGGCCTCTGTAATCAGTAGAGCTGGTGAAACTCAGCTTTGCAGATACAGCCGTGGTGATGCTGTCCAGTTACTGAGCGAGCATCCATTCTGAGCAGAGTAACTTTGCAGTGCCGAGATTCACACAGGTGTCTGTTTCTTGCGTGTGTGACTCCTGTCTCACATTTTTGGTGTGTGTTCTGGTCTCCACAGCCTGATTACATCAACTCCAGAGCCGTGCAGCTGGGCTCCCTTCTCGTCCGTGGCCTCACTACTCTGGTTCTAGTTAACAGCGCGTGTGGCTTCCCCTGGAAGATGAGTGACTTCATGCCTTGGAATGTATTTGACGGGAAGCTTTTTCATCAGAAGTACCTGCAGTCTGAAAAGGGTTATGCTGTGGAGGTTCTTTTAGAACAAAATGTGAGTTCGCAGATGGCTACCTTTCACCAGAAACATCCCTGTAGTTCCAGGCTACACAAATAACATGAAGTCGACTATTGCATTTTTCAAATTTAATGCTTGCCAAATAAAGGATTCCATTATTCCGTCAAAACCAGGAACACCTGATTTGAAGCATTAGGCTTCAGTGTCAGCATAACTAATACAGGCTGAATACCCCTTATCTGAAATACTTAGGACCAGAAATGTTTTGGATTTTGAATGTTTTTGGATTTTTGGAACGTTTGCATATACAGTTGACCCTTGAACAATGCAAGGGTTAAGGGCTCCAAACCCTCGTGCAGTGGAAAGCCTCCATATAGTTTTTGACTCCCCCAAAATTTTACTACAAAGAGCCTACTCTTGACCAGAAGCCTTAACTAATAACATAAGCAGTCAATTAACCCATCGTTTATGTTATATATGTATTATATACTGTATTCTGACAATAAGCTGGAGAAAAGAAAATGTGAGTAAGAAAGTCATAAGGAGAGAACTATATTCCTGTTCATTAAATGGAGGTGATCATATTGAGTGGGCTGAGGAGGACGAGAAAGAGGGTGGGGCTTGCTGCCTCAGGTGTGGCAGAGGCCAAAGAAAATGCCCATGTTAGTGGATCTATGCAGTTCAAACCCATGTTGTTCAAGGGTCAACTGGACAGACATCATGAGATAGCTCGGGGATGAGACCCAAGTCTAAACACAGAATTCATGTATGTCTCATATACACCTTATATATACAGCCTGAAGGTAATTTTATACTTTATTTTTAGTGGCGTTGTGCATGGCACAGTGTTTTGACTGCATCTATCACAAGATCAGGTGTGGAATTTCCCACTTACAGCATCATGTTGGTGCTCAAAAAGTTTTAGATTTTGGATTTTCAGATTAGGAGTGCTTAGCCTGTAGCTTCTGCCAAAATTCTTAAACAGGGTTCAGGGCTTCCAAACTTAACGCTTAGGTGGGGCAAGCAGCATCACACCCAGTCTGACACATTTTTAATTTTTGAAGTGCTTTTTACTCTTCTCCTCATTACACACACACAATACACATACTACTTTTTTTGAGACAGGGTCTTGCTGTGTTGTTCAGCCTGGAGTGCAATGGTGCAATCTCTGCTGACTGCAAACTTCCACCTCCAGCACTTGAGTGATCCTCCGTCCTCAGCCTTCTGAGTGGCTGGGACCGAGGGTGTGCACCACCATGCCCAGCTCATTTTTGTATTTTCAATAGAGATGAGATTTTTCCATGTTGCCCAGGAACTCTTGGGCTTACGTAATCCGCCTCCCTCAGCCTCCCAAAGTACTGGGATTACAGGCATGAACCACCGTGACCAGCTCCTCTCCCTTTTTTAATGAAGAACTAACAGTCCCTACAGAAGTGCCTTCACAGATATCAGACTCATCTGATAGGTGTAGTTACAGTTTATTATTTGAAAATACTCCCCAAAGGCTGCCAGTTTAGTTGGGGACGCTGGCTGCTGTCCAGCTTTATAAATACAGTTGCTACATGACTCCTGGAAGATTTCCAAATAAGGCATCAAGCCAAGCTCATTTGGAACGTGTTTTAATACCCAGAGGGATGTGAAAAGCAGTGTGATCCGTGAGAGAGCATACCAGTCTGTCACAGTAGAGCACTCCAAGCTTTCATAGCAGAGAGAACACATTTGGTAATGTGTTGCCATCACTGTTACACACACACACACACACACACACACACACACACACACATTCCAGAGTGGCATAGGACTGTAAGTATTTAGAACTTAGAAGCAGCCTGAATTTTGTAGAGAGCAAAAGCAGAATAAGAGGAGAACTACGCCCCTAATAAGCCAGTAAGTATTGGAAGGTAGACTATAGAAATGAAAGGTAAAGTAGCCTTATTGGATCACAGCCTATCCATCATGGATCTTTTCCTTTCTTTATTCAATTTCTTGACCAAGTTCCAAGCGATTATAGGGTCTAGTTTAAAAAAAAAAACTTATAGGATAGAATATTCAGTAATAAAACAGGAAGCTTGAAGGAAAGGTTGAATGTTCCATGTTCCATTTCTTAATCTGCTATTTTTTGGGGGTTTTTTGTTATTGTTTGTGTTTTTTTGACCATGGCTTTTCTGCTGAATGTTCTTATAACTAAGAATTGAAAGATTAAGATATATTAATTGCAAACACTTTTTAAAGGTAAGATTGTGTGGTAATCACCTAAATTGTCATAATGGGACTTAAAGCTTCTTTTTTAGAAATGATTGTTTAACCTACAGAAGCTGCTTGGTGTTATTTTTCTGGGGGATGTGAGAGAATATGTTCTCTAAGAACCTCTTGTAATGTGATCATGCTGAAGGAGAACTGTACTGTGGTTCACGCCTGGGAGCAGGGTGCAGCTACCATTGCTGCCTAGCCTTGGGAACAGCGTGGGAGGGTGTCCCATAAACTTCCTTCCAGCCATATCTGGCCCGTTACATCTCATTTGCATCTGGTCTGTTTGCAGAGATCTCGGCTCACCAAATTCCACAACCTGAAGGCAGTGGTCTGCAAGGCCTGCATGAAGGAGAACAGACGCATCACTGGCCGAGTCCACTGGGGCTCGCACCATGCAGGTGGGAAAGGGCCAGGTGCTTTGAGACGCCCCACAAGCATAGACCCTAACTGCTTCCCACATACTTTTGATAAAAGAATTCTAAGAAGAGGCTGATACAGTTGGATGAAAAGAATGGAATTTAAATGATAGGGCTGAGTGTGGTGGCTTATGCCTGTAATACCAGCACTTTGGGAGGCCAGGGCAGGTGGATTACTTGAGATCAGGAGTTCAAGAGCAGCCTGGACCACACAGTGAAAACCTGTCTCTACTAAAGATACAAAAATTAGTTGGGCATGGTGGTTCATGCCTGTAATCCAGGCTACTCAGTAGGCTGAGGAAGGAGGATCGCTTGAATCTGGGAGGTGGAGGTTTCAGTGAGCTGAGATCGTGCACCCGCACCTCAGCTTGGGTGACAGAGCAAGACTCTGTCTCAAAAGAAAAAAAAAAAAAAAGAAAAGAAAAAAAAAGAAAATGATAGATCTCTACACAGTGGTTTAAATTTTGGTCACAATAGGAAAATTTCTCAGAAAGGACTCACTTATTAATTAAATAATTAAGAACTCTTTCTCTTGGTATGTAACCTCCTTTCTAGGATTCTCCAGAAGAGGGGCTGCTTAGGTAGTGTTTGTTTATTTGATAAGAGTTTAGGTTTATTTTTTCTTATAATAAAAGTATATTAGAAAAATTAAGTGTAAAGGAAATAATTAAAAAGGAAATATAAATGGCCTTTAATTCTGTCACATAAAGATAACAAGTGTGGACTTCTGCTGAGGTTTCTGTGTGTGGATCTCGTTCTGAGTTTACTCCATGCAGTTTTGTGTTCTGCTTTCCCACTTAGCACTTAACTTAGGGCACGAACACCACAGGATCATCCACTGCAAGATAGCTTGTTCTCTGTTTGAAGCTTCTTTGTGGAGCACCGTGGACTATCACTCTACCTTTAAAAAATCACATGAATTTCTATTAGGCTTTCTAGTGGAGACAAACAGGACAAGGTATCAGGGACTGGGAAGTTACAGAAATTTTAAAGCACACAAAGTGTGCGTGAAGTTTGTGGAGAATAGGGAGAAGCTCATAAGTCCCAGAAGTGCTGGTTGATCCCTTGCCCAGGGCGCCGGAGGAATGGGCTTGATCACGGGCACCATGGCCTGTGTGGATCCAGTGGGGTCCCAGGGAAGAGGAGTAGTTGGGCTGCTCAACTCTTTGTTTTCAGAGGTTGCCCTCTCACCACCAATGCCAGATTCTCCTGGAGTTAGAGTTTAATACACAGATCTGTGACTCCACTCCTGAGCCTGGTTCTCTGGGGATGCAGTCCTTAAATTTGTATTTTTTCATGAGCCGTCCTCACTTAAGTACAGGAAAACTGCTAGCCTGGTGCCACCTTGCCACACTCTTACACGATGTGTTATTTGGGTTAAGACATTTGAGAACTTGCTAATTCTCTGACCATGTGTTCCCACAGGGAGGTGGGGAAGACAGGGCTCCGGCTCCCACAGGACGGGCTCTGGGTATAGCCGTTCTGGTCAGGGACAGCCGTGGCGAGACCAGGGACCAGGTAAGAAGGCCTCACTCTACTGGCCCACCTGCATGGTGCTGCCTCTCACCTTGTGCTTTTGCTGATAACTGCCTTCCTCCGTTTCAAAAATAGGTTGAATATTTATTTATAGTAAATAAACATACCGCTGTATCTAATTTTTATCATTTAGTGAATAAAGACAAATAATTTTCATGCTTGATGCTAGCCCTGTCTGCTCCTGGCCACTTTATTCATTTTCTATCAGTTCATTCTGCTCAAGATCCAGTTTTTGTCATTTA